CTATTCCAAAGTAGAAATGTGTCTAAATCTGCCTTGTGTTGAGGGTTGGTATATGGATGCTGTTCAAAAGAAGCTTTCTGTATTCAGTTTGGTGTGTCCTGACTCCTCTTGCAGAGTGTGGCACAGCTAATGTCCTGGTTTGAGTCAAAACCACAACAGCTAATTATCTCATTTTTTTATGTTAGATGAAAATGTGCTTGTTGGCAATTTCTGTATGCTTTCCCCAGGTACCAAGGTGTGCCATGACCCTCTGCTTCAGCTGTGAGGGTACACTTCTAACTACAATTACTCTGTGACCGCTGTCCCTAGACCTAAGCCTTTCCCTGAGTTTTGCATGGTAGAAAAATCTGTGTTTTGAAGACATTCTGTTGAGAATCTATCCTCCTCATGCTAGTTTTGCACCAAGGCTGTTTTCTTGATATTTCCAGGATTTTTCATCGGAGGCCCTTCTAACATGATCAGTTCTGCAATTTCTGCTGACCTGGGGCGCCAGGATCTGGTGAGAGGCAGCAGTGAGGCTCTGGCAACAGTCACAGGAATCGTGGATGGAACTGGCAGTATTGGTGCTGCGGTGGGCCAGGTGAGGCTACCACAGGAAAATAGAGGTCTGAGGAAGGAGGCAAAGAGTCTGTTGTGGTTAGAGATGATATTTCATTCCTCAATCCAAAGTTACATGGAGAGAGAGAGAGAAAGGGTTTTGTTGTTTTTAAAAGAATTATTTATTCAAGAAGCAACCAAGGGAACATATGCATTTTAAGCTTCCGGTGGAAGCGATTTAATTAAGAGCTAAGCTAACTATTTATAGTATTAATGTTATGGCACTCTCATAATTTAAACAAATTTTAGACCCTTTCATATCCTAAAGTCCAAAAAGCAAGTAAATTTAGCTTCACAAAGAGTAAAAATAAAACGTTTTGAAGTTTGGGATTTTTTGTTCAAAGGTAATAGCAAAACATATCAAAAAAGAAATCACTTACAGAAAAGTTTATCAAGTAGAATTAGAATACCTATTATGAATGTTACAGTGTTTATAAAGTAATGTAAAATTTGCTCTTATTTGTGGTTCCCCTTTTTATCTCTGGATGTCTTTTACACCTTGTAAATCCAGCACCACTTGCTTCGATAGTCCTTACAGTACGCTGCCAGAGGTCTGAAGACTAGACTGTTGCAGAAAAGGAAGCTGACAGTGTACCCACTGGGGACATTCTTTCTTCTCAAATACAAGCTTTAACTATGTGGGAGAACAGAGTGGTGCTTTGGGGAGGGGAGGATTTAGTAGAAAGGTTGGAGCCAGTTCTATTCCAGGCATCCTCTAGAGCTGGTAAAATACCCAGGATGCAGGCAAGACATAAAACTTTCTTTTCTGGAAGGGGATTTGGGTTTGTGCTTGCCCTTGATTGCCTGATAAATACAATAATTCAGTGTCTGTTTTGTAGGAAAGATGCTGCTTATCTCCTTTAAATATGGAAAATCACGAGTGCTTTGTGGATGCCTTAAAGTGCACTGTTTACGCTCAATGTTCTTACATTGACTACAGTGTTTCTGTCTTCCCACACACATACCATTCAAACTTGCGTCATCATAAAAATTGGGTCTTTAGTTCTGAAAAATTCCACCTGCCTCCCATGCTAACGTTGCATTTATTTCAATGGAGACAACCATGATGTCATTCTGGGGGTGTGTGAATCACACCAAATGCACAATGAACATGTTAGAAATTCAGATCTTGGTTTGTGCTAATAAAACCAGTAGTGGGCATATTAGAAGAAGGGAGGCCCTTGTGCAGCATCTGAATATAAATCTGTTAATAGGGAATACATTTTCTTTTGTAGCCTGTGTAGTCCTGTTGAGCCAGGACACAGTTCAGAACAGACTGTAGTCTCAAGTGTCTTGCCTACGATGAAGGGTTAAGTAGTTAGTGGTTGCACAGCTCTTGTAAATGGGTCCCTTGTAATTTATAAACCATTCTAGAGCTTTTAGTTCTTCTGAGAGTACTTACATCCACTTATGTCCCAGTGTTCTGTGCAAAAACCTTGTATTCAGCGGAGTCAATTTGTCACCCTTTGAAACTGTAGTTCTGTTCTCTCTTTTCTGCTGCTGTGAATTACTGTAAAGCTTCAGGATAGTATCTCTGCTTTGCTGAGACTGTGGGTTTTAGACAGAAAGGCTGCTGTCCTGAGTCATCTCTTCTGACAGGAAAAGATCAGCTGGAAGGTTTTGTGATCAGCTCTGTATGGAGTGTTAACAGCCCACAAATTCTAGAAAATGAAAGCGTGATGCCTGAAAGTCATGCCTGTCTTCCTGGTTTGAATAATTTTTTCCCCCCTTTCTTTTTAGTATCTAGTGTCTTTGATCCAGGAGAACCTGGGATGGATGTGGGTTTTCTATTTCTTTATTCTAATGGTAAGAAATCACCTTTCTCAAATTTTTTTTTGTCAAAGTTCAACTTGCAACATAGCAAGTTTTTGTGAGAACCTGAAACTTGTGGTTTAGACATGTAATCTGTTTCTGCAGCAGCTGCCAACTCTGGTGCCATTCTCAAAGTTGTCTGTAGTGTGCCTTTGCTTTGGGGTGTCTAAATCAACTGGATTCATTTTGGATCCTTTAAAGTCACGTTGCCCAACAGGATCTGAGATTGTGGCAGAGGCACAAAAATACTTGCCTTAAAATACCTGTGCGTGTTTCGTAAAGCTCATACCAGCTGACTGAGTTCCAAGGCAGGACTTTTTCCTCCTTCATCTCCATGATAGTTAGTAGGTAGTTCCTAGTATTTTCAGGGAGCTGAAAATACAGGTTAAGCTGCTTGTTTGTTAGCCCTTGAAGATTAGTGGAAGGAGTGATGAGGATCTTGAAACTAAAATGAAGATGCCTTGCCCTGGTATACCCCTGGGGGAGAGGACTATTCAGGTGCCCTGATCTCCTCAGCATTGATGCAGAGGTGAATACTGTACAATTCACCCATTCTTCCCTGCTGGAAGTGCCAGGAATTGTCTTTGCATTTGTGCTGACTAGGGAAAAGGCCACTTTGGTAAGCAGCAGAGGTGGCTGAGAGGAAGGCAGTTGAGGAGGTGAAGAGCTCATCTTCTTTATGAAAAGAAGATGATGTCAGCTGAAATTGTATGAGCAGCCTCAGTCCTTCCATCTGCTGTGTCACTTCTATTACCCTGTGACTTTCTGGGGAGGCCTTGAAAGGGCAGGGTGGCTGCAGCTATGGTTGCTCTCTGCTGATTGTCCTGGATGTGCTTCTTTTCACAACATTGGAGCACAGGGTGGCTGCAGCTATGGTTGCTCTCGGCTGATTGTCCTGGATGTGCTTCTTTTCACAGACGAGTTCAACAATCCTGTTCATTTCACCATTAATAGTGAGGGAGATCAAATTGCTTCTGCATGAGCGGCGCCTGCGAATGCTGGCTGAGTGACTCCTGCTTGCCTCTGGAAGGACTGTTGTACAGACCTGACAGCTGGAACACTAATCAAAATCCTGGGAGACTTGTTTCTTACATCCTCCAGGTTTGGACTAACTCAAAATAGCTCTGCAAGACTTGATGGACCTGCCTTTGTGAGCTCAACAGTGAAGTACCAAATACCCGTCCTGAAACCACCCGCACCATGGAGCTGCTGATCTAAGCTAGACAATCCACGAGGCCTGGCTGGGATTGTCCTGGCCTACCAGACTCTTCCATGTCAGCAGCCCCACTAGGGTCTTCTGCTGGGTGGGCTCACTGCTATACCCTTTCTTATTTATTTCTGGATGTCCTGACCAAAGGTCAACTGTTTAAAACTGATGGTGGAGAGGCTCTCTTCCAATGAATTTTGATGCTCTGTTGTGCCAGTGAAGTCATACAGTGCATTTCATGGGTAGTCTAAGTTTACGATCGCTTTAGCTTTTAGAAAGGGCAAAATTATTTGGAACTCACTCTGTCCAGTTGTTTAAAAAATACTGTTGTTAAATCTGTACACAGACGGACCTCTGCTATCCATAGCTATTAACTGTCATGTAGTCCAGTAGATCCACATGGAGAAGTTACCTCCATATTTGTTTTTAGCATTTTGTAATAATAATATTATTACTAATCTCTGGGAAATGAGATTTCAGTTTTTAACTATTTAAGCAGACAAATAGTGTGCAATACTTTGCTGTGATCTCTGAGGATAAGCCTTAATAGATCCTTTGTGTCTAAAGGATCCTTGAATGGCTTTGGGGATCACTAATGGGACACAAATACTTTCACTACTGCTTTGTTATTTGAATTCTAATCAGTACTGACCAAAATGGGACTGTCGGGTGACCCTCTGAAGGCAGCTGGTGTCACTGATTTCATACTCATTGGGCAATTGCTCATCTCCAGCAAAGGAGAACCAGAACGGAATTAAAGGAATTTAAGGGACTTGGCTGCTCTTGGGCACAGGCTTCCCAAAAGGGATTGCAGGATACTCATGGAATAGCACCAAGGAGCAAGTGCTGTTCCCCTCCCCAGTGCTCCTCTGCCTTGAGCTGCGGAGGGGACCTCAAACTCTAGGGTTTAAGAGCTTGAGTTGTATGTTTAAGAGCTTGAGTTGTATCTTGAAGAGAAAGGTAGATGGGAGTCAGCACTAAAGAGCATGTGACTGCACTGAGTGTGGTGGTGTCTGAGTATTCTGCAGTGCTGCGGTAAGCAGGGTGACCGACCAGCATCTCTGACATTTGTTGGTGATGTTAATGGGGTCGCCGAGTAACTTCTCAACAGATTGTTTTCTGCTTATGCCTTGAGATGTTCCGTTGCAATAGGCATCTGTTAACCAGCAGACTTTCTGATCAAACACTCAATCGAACTAGTCAGTGATGCCTGGATGGGGTGGGGGGCAGGAGTATTCTGGGAACTGAAAATTTGAAACTTTTTAAATGGGAAAAGTTGCCTTTTTAAAATGTACAGTGATTTTATTTTATTTTTTAAATTTATGAATGTCAATTTTTAGTCACGTGTTGATTGTAACGAGTGGGACATTATTAGTGCCTTACAGTTCTACTGTATCGAACGGTTACTTGGCGACTGCTGCTTCTGCACTGACAGCTCTGTGCACATCTTTGCTTACTGTGAAACTCAGTTGCTCCATTTTATACTTCTTTTTTTTTTTGAGATTCTCTTTCTTTCTTTCTTGGTGGAGGTGATTCTTGCCTTTTTTGCTAACCCTCGAAAAATGTCAGTGCTTGGGAAAGCGGTGCCATTAAGCTGATGATGGACCTGAATCCTGTTCTTGTCTCTTCTCATTCCCATTCCAATTTTTGCCTGTATAATTAGAGCAGGAGACTGAGAATCTATCATCCTGCTCTCAGAATTATGCCCTGGGGTTAGTGTTCACATCCCAAGCTACTCATTAGCCCCTGTACAAATAGAATCAAAACTCCCTGAAATTTAGTTCTAAAATTGATGGCGGCACCGCTTGCCCCAGCCACCATGTCTGAGAATCTGTGGTTTCAAATTCCAACCTGGATGAGCTTTTTTGGCCAGGCTGTCTGGGCGCTCGATAAGCTTCTGATGAAAGGTGGGGTGGGAAAGGGACAGTGTGCGGGGCCCGGGGGGAGGAGGAGGAGAGGCAGGCCCCGGTGACAAATGGTTTCCTGTAAACAGTTCTGTCCCCTCTGGAGGAGAAGTGTCAGAGGCCTTATGAGCGCCGCAAGCACAAGCTGCCCAGCAGCTCACATGTAAGTGCATGGTGGTGCTTTGAGGCCACCTTCAATTAGCTGGATGTGCCAAGGACTTCAGGATCGTGGTGGTGGTGTTGTTGTTGTCCTGGATTTTTGGTTCTGTGTATTTCCTCAAGGTGCTCAGATGGAGGAAGGTTTTCAATCTGATCACGTCCAAACTGATGTCACATGAATAAACTTATTTTGACTTGATCTGGGCTAATTCTTCTGTGTGCTTTATTCCATTCTTCTCAATGGGGTTCTGCTGAGCGTGCGTCTCTCCTGCCTCATCAGAGGCCTACCTCTAGCAGCTGCTTTTCACTCCACTGCTGTGAAGACCAAAAACCAAACCCTCATCCCAGCCTGATGGACCATGTTCCTGCCTGCTGCAGTTGGTCACTCTTCCTCAGCAGTCTCATGAGAAGCTTTGTGAGAGTCCCCTAAGAGAGATGCCCCGTCACTAACGGTCTTAAATAAAGAGGCCAGAACATACATTTGGTTTTATTTCTTAATTTGTTGATCTGCACGTGGAAGTCAGGTGTTCTCCCCTTGAAATCAAGCATGCCATGTGGCTGCTGGCCCTGCCGTGCCTTCTCTCCTGTGGCTTGTTTCTTTATACACAGATCCCCACCTCAGTTTAGCTGTGTTTAAAGGGACACAGTGGGGAGCTTTGTGTTTATGTTTTATAGTCTATCCTAAATTCAGAGTTGAGCACAATGCTCAACTCCAGATTGCTGGAGAAACCCCCATGCCTGCAGGCTCTGGTCCCTCAATTCCCAACTAGTTTGGTGGTGCTATGATGCTATTCCTCCAGAAAAGTGACAATTCATATTTTTACCCCTTTTCTGTCACTTTTTTTTTTTCTTCCTACTCCTGAAGAACTCTCCAGTCTACTCTGGAAGTGCTCTAAGGAGAAGGGCTGAATGTTTGGGTGAGCAGAAGTGTCAGAATTACTTCAGAGGGCAAAGGAAGCGCATTGGGAAGGTCCTTGCAATAGATGCCCTACAAGCAGAGCTGCTGGGCCCGGTTTTCTTGGAGGTCTGGAACCCAATGGCCTTGTGACGAGTCTGCCTGGTGACAGCTGCCACAGCGCTCTCCAAAGGAGCAAGAGTTGGGCTTCTCCTCTAAGTGCTGGGCTGCCTTAGAGAGCGAGTGAGCTCCTTGTCCTCACCAAACCCAGAAGAGCAACTTTCCCTCCTGCAGGGAAGGGGGAGGAGAAGCAGAAGTGTGTTTTAAGGATTTTTTTTTTTTCCTCTCTGAGATAAAAGGATGAAGTATCTATTTGGAGATAGTCCCACAGATCTCACCAGTAGAAGCACTGGCTGTTCTGGGATGTCTCAGACACACCACTGATCAGTTACTCTTGTGTAGTTTTGTCCTCTGTCCAGGGGTGGCCAAGGTGCTCTGCCAAACCTTTGTGCAATTCCCCCCCACCCCTTCTTTTCTAACTGAAAGTGCCTACAGGGATGCTTGGGGTTCTGTATTGCAAAGGGTTTCTAAGGCACAGCGTGGCCACCTTCCTACATCTTTGTCAGGCCTTATCTAATCCTTTAAGTAAACAGCCTGCCCTCCTCCAAAGGCTGCAAATACAAGCTCTTAGACCATTTTGTGGGGCTGGATCTGGGGGGAGTGTGTTACGTACAGGCCCATGAAGGCATCTTGCTTCTATTAAAGCTTTTCCTAAACGACTGTTGCTTGGATGAATATTTACAGTAATGCAAAGAAGAAGAATTGAGGCAATTGCTGTGACTGTTCCCTTTGGTTCTCCTGCGCTGGTGATGGTGTCTGTGTACAGCCAGATCCTTGGAGGTTCTCCTGAAATGTCTCCTTTGACCACCTCTGCAACAGAGCACAGGTGTCTGTGAAAACCAGATGCGATGGGCAAGTCCAAATGTACTCCTGGAGCACGAGGGCATAAAGCAAAAGCTTTGTGGCTCTCTTGGTAGGTTTGACATTACTGCCAGGAGAAGGAAGGTTTCTACTGAGATTACAGAAGCTCAGGTAAATGGTTTGGGGACAACTATTTTGTTTCAGAATGGCTTTAAAGCAGCAGATGGGACTTGATGGACCTAGAGGTGAATTGGTGAAGTCTCCATTGGTGTTCTTGCTCTGTTGCCTAGGGTAGGAAATCCATACACCACCCACTCTTGTCTTTGTGGGCCACATAAGGGACAATATAATCCAGAAGGTATCATCAGCAGAACGACAGCAGATGAGGATAAGATTATTCAGATGTGCTATTTAAATCTTCTTTCCTTATAACATGGTAAGAAAAGCATTGGGGATTCAGGATGGGTTGATTTCTCTGGGCTCCTGGATTCCAACCACTACCTCAGAGAACTCCTACACCCAGAGACCTACATCCTTGTTCTTTTTCCCCATTTGTCAGGTGGGACCAGTTTCCAAAACCTCACTCCTCTGCTCTGGGGTGCCTGGCAGAGAAAAGCGACCTGGGGCTGACAGAAGCTGGTGTGAGTGCCAGAGATGACAAAGCAATTGGGTAAGAGCTGCCTGTGCTCTTCAGCCAGAGGGATGGGAGGATCTGGGCGGCAGCTTCACCGGGACCGGCTCCTCTCTCCACTCACCTCTCCTGCAGCCTCCTTGCCCTCTGCTCTAACCCTGGCTTCCTTCTGGGAATATTCATGTTTCGTTTCTCCCCGGTCAGAAGCAGGTTCATCCCAGGACAGCTTATCCCAGCGTGGGGACAAGAAGGACAGGCGGCTGCGGCTCCTGCTGTTGGACACCAAGGAGCTGTTGACCCCAGAAGAGATGTGAAGGTGGGTGTGCAGCAGTGTTGTGCCAGCACCAGTGATTCCTGAGTCAGTGCACGCCCCCGAAACCCCAGGTGAGCAAGCATGCAGGGCTGGCAGGGTCCCTGCTGGAGCTGGCTTTTCACTGCCCAGCGGTGTTTCCGTGCGCCTGCCTGCAACGGCGGGTGTGCAGCGGCGTTGTGCCAGCTCCAGTGATTCCTGAGTCAGTGCACGCCCCCGAAACCCCAGGTGAGCAAGCATGCAGGGCTGGCAGGGTCCCTGCTGGAGCTGGCTTTTCACTGCCCAGCGGTGTTTCCGTGTGTATCTGCGATGCCCTTCGGAGCTCCCAGGAGGGTTTTTAAACACTGTGTTGTCTGGTTTCCCTGAGGGGAGCAGGAGGGTGTTGGGGGAACACGGAGCCGTGGCCCCAGCAGCTGGGTGTCACCCTGGTTCTGAGGGACCCTGGCCTTTGCTCCCAGATGGCGAAATCCAGATTGTTTTACGTTGCCTGGCTCTGCTGCACTTTGCCACTTGCTTTGGTCGGTTGGAGGGGGATTTCTGCCTGTCTTCTGCCACTTCGCTGGCTGCCGTTTCCTCAGCTGCCTTCTCTTTTTAGGAAAGGAGCAGGGAGTCGCTTCGGGGGGATTTATCATCAGTCAAGGTCTTCATTTGACAGATTTGCTCTTTTCTTCCTGCTTCCACTGTTTCACCTCAGGTTACCCGTTCTGTCTCAAATGTGCAGGGCCGGATTCCTCCCTCTTCTGTCCCCAGCCCGTTTTCTTTGCTCCAGCCGTTGTGGGAGCTCGTCTCCAGGACTAGGAAAAGGAGCCAGTATTTTTCTGTGCTAACAAAGTGAGCATTGTAATGCAGTTGCCGAGTGGGTGGATGTGATTGCCGACAGACAGACGTATTCCTCCTGCTAGGGTGTGGATTAAAGCTCAAGGTGACTTTGTTCCTGCATAAATTTCACTAACTTTCCCCAGGGAGCTGGAGGGGCCGGGGTGGGAGGGGAGAAGTGTGATAAATGGAAGTGTCGGAAGGAGACGCGCTGACACGGCACGCGCTCCCAAAGCGTAAATGTGTGCTGTAAGGAGCTCTCAGCATAGATAGAGACAGCGCTCCATGGGTTAAAAAATAAAATACCCAGGATGATGTTTGGACACGAAGTTGAGGGTGGCACTCTGCGGGCTGCTGTCCCGGTGTCATCACCTGGGTACCTGGATTAGGGAGCAGCACAGGTTGCTCAGGGTTGGGAAGGCTTTGAGGGGAGTGAGGAGGGCACTGCTCCTCTCAAGGAGGGGTGGGAGGAAGCCAGGCTGCCTTTGCTGCTCTCCACCAGTCAGACCTGCTCGACACCAGAAGCTGTGGCAGACGGGTGGGCTGCCATCTCCTGCGCTCGCTGGGAAGGGTCCCATGGAAACAGTTCCTTCCAGAGCTATCGCTTGTCCTTATCTGCCGCGAGGTGGGCATGGTGACAGCAAATCACATCTTGGGACACCTCTGCCTTTGTTGCCATGGGAATCGGTGTCTTCCACAGCTTTGTCTTCTGTGAAAAAAAGAGAAGTGCTGTTACCTCCCCTGGTGCACCCACCAAAATGTGGTGAGGGTGGAGGGGGGTTGTGGTCAGCACCGTCGCGCCTGGAGCAGAAGTGATGGGGTGGTGACGTGGAGGATGAAGCAGTGAGGCACGCTGGCCCAGGTAGCCCTGCTCCTCTCCCCCCAGGTGTCAGATGCAGAGTTATCTGACCTTGTCACCCTCTTCTCAGATAGGTAGAAGAGTCTGGGTCACGCAGACGTCTGACACGCCAAAACATGATGTTGGTTTGAAGGTCTGGTGTGGCCCAGGGGTTCGGATGCTTTTCCAGGGGGGACTCAGGTGGGGCTTTGCTGGGGGGAGGGCAGAGGTTGAGCTGGGTTTGTGGGGAGAGGTGCCGTGTTTCAGCTCCCTCCCTGGTGGGGATGTGGGAGCCACCTGGCTGGTCCTTCGTAGTCAGGAGGTGAAGGCACTGCGGAGCCTCTGAAAGGGACCAAGGGTCTCCCGGGGAGCCTAGCAGGAACCTAACCCAGGATCTGCACCTCTCCTGTGCTGTGGCTCATGGCCAAGCCCTGACGAGAGCGGCTGGAAGAGAGGGGAAACTGCATTTACAGAGCGAGCCGTAACTCTCAGGGGAAACTGGTCCCTGGAAATTTCCATGCTGTGCGGGGACATGAGGCTCTTGCTCTGAACGATCCTGGGGTGATCCGAGAAATCAGCTCCCTTCAGAGAGCTCCCTGCCTGTGTATGGCACGTCTCGGTCCTTCCTCCCAGCCCTCGCTTGTGTCATTTCTTCAGATCGTCACCCATCTCTATTTTAGTTACGCTTCTTGAGCGGATTCCGATACCCAATTAAAAGATATTTATCTGCCCAAAAACTCCTACGAAATAAAGAAGTGGTGTTATTTCCACGGCACGAATGAGGAACTGAGTC